CCGTTGCTATTCCCTCTCACTCTCACTTGTCCTTTCGCTTCTATTGTGGCCGGCCGTCCGACTGAGTCACCTGTTCTCGCAATATCTCTCGCTCCGTTCGGTTAGGTGAGCGTGGTAATGCGCACACAGAGGCCATATAGTCTGGCTTTTTCCGCCTTGTCACCTTCTTTCAACTCAAACTCTCACATCCCACCATCTTGACTATCACAGCCCTCTATTTTGATCCCCATCACCCACAACTTGAGTATTTTCATCCGCTACTCTCATCTTTACAACCCTTGACCTTTGCTCTTTCGGCCCACACCAGTTGCTCGTCATGGCAGCAAACGACGACACCGTCAGGCGGGATTCCGTGAATAGCTACACCAGCGGTCCGCAAACCCCACAGGGCGCACTCGGTCGCTATCAGACTCAGTCACCGCACGATCCCGCGATGGCCTTTCCTCTTCAAGCGCAGCTGCCGACTCCCAAGATGAGCCCGCAGACGCGCCAGCAAATGAGTCCGCAGATGATGGCCGAGTACATGCGCCGTCAGGCCATATCAACTCAATCACAGCCGCGCCCGACCACTATGCAAGCGCAGCCTCCCACTCGCGAGGAAGCTCAGGCACGTCAGAACCGCCAGTTTGCCCTGTTTGGAATGGCCTATTTCCAGAGGTTGGACCCGCAGGCAAAGCAACAGTTTCAACAGTTGCCTTCCCAGAAGCAAAACGAGATCGTTAGGAACGCAATCGAGCAACGTAAACAGCAAGAGATTCACAAGGCGCGCGGGCAGCAGATGGCGGCGCAGCAGGCAAAGCAACAGGAAGCGCAACAACTGGCAGCGCAGCAACTGGCAGCGCAGCAACTGGCAGCGCAGCAACTGGCAGCGCAGCAACTGGCAGCGCGACAGGCACACTTCAACAGATTTACACAGCAATACATCAGCTCGTTCAGTCCTGAGAAGTTGCAACGATTCAGACAGGGTTCCGGAACACAGCAAAAGCAGCATCTTTGCGATGTCTACAAGCAGATGCAAAACGCGCAGAAGCTACAACAGCAGAAACTGCAACAAATGCAGCAGCATCAACCAGCCGGGCAGCTACAGCAGGTGTTGCAGCCGCAACAGCTCGCGCAACAACCTCAACGTATTCTGCAAACTCCAAAAGTACAGCAACATCGACAGCTGCAGTCGCCACGTATTCCGCAAGCTCCACAAGCTCAGCCACATCGACAGCCGCAGGCGCAACGTATCCTGCAAGCTCCACAAGCTCAGCAACATCAGGAGCCGCAGGCGCAACGTATTCTGCAAGCTCCACAAGCTCAGCAACATCAGGAGCCACAGCCACAACGTATTCAGCAAACACAACCGGCGCCTCAGCTGAAGCGGCCTCGTTCTGAGGACGATGAGGCAAGCCCAGCCACCAAGGTAGCCAAGGTCGCACAGACAATTACAGAGCAGCAGCCGAAGAACACAGAGGATCCAGAAGATCAGAGACTCAGGTCTAAGCTCACAAGCTGGCTCGCATCCAACGAGGCTAAGGAAGAAGCTCAGAAGAGCGAGCAGTCTGCGGAGTTGCACTGGCAGATGAAGCACGCTGGCCCTTACGCTGGCCCTTACGCCGGCTATGAACCTGCGAAATCAAACATCCCCGACAACTCGTTCTAAGACTACATCACCACATCCGTTCGAGGCACGCTTGGACAACCTCATGGCAGACCGACACACCTCACCCTCACACTATTGTCGTTTAACTACAGGACATCCTGATCGGCGTCTGGATACCTCACGGTCTTTACATTCGGTGTCTGGCTGCAGGATTACCTCGCAGTCTTTGCATTCGGTGTTTGGCTACAGGATATCTCGACCGGCATCGGGCTACACTTTTACTCATTGCATACGGCGTTTGATTATCTGCTTCACATTACCACACTGGGCGGCAACAGTTCACGGAAGAACACAGCGAGGCGTTTGGTTACTCGCATTACGATACCCTACTGGGCGGAAACAGTTCACGGAAGAACAAAGCACGGCGTTTGCTTTTCTTCGTTTTCCTTTATCTTTCTTCTTTTGCGTTCACTTCTGCGTTTACTTCTGCGTTCGACGACATTACCATCACACATTTCACGGGCTGCATCATTGCTACTAGCGTTTGCAGCTTTGCGGCTAAGCGACGCGAACGCAGTTGCATGTTCATCATCATCAACATTATCAACGCGGCCGCTTGATGTAAAGGGCGCTATTATCAACATGGAAACAGGGGAGGAGAAAACAGACTAGAAAATACACGATAAAACATTCATCAGATCTTGCTCTACTGTGACTTCCATTCCCGTCTTGTTGAAGCTTCACTAACTTTGTCTAAACTCATCGTTCTCCACCACCCTGCAGATCACAAGATGCCCGAACAACGCGCCCTACCACCCCTTGTCCTCTTACCCATCGTACTCGCACTCTCATTGTTCGAAATCGCGTACGCGGCCAGCCTTGCTGCTTACGCTACTCATTACATCGCCGTGCGCATGCTGCTCTATACCCAGGATTTTCTACATCCGGGTCAGCTAGACAGTGTAGGTGGTGTGTCACGGTTTACGAATGTGGATAGGGGTCTCATAGCGTTTTGGTTGCCTGTTGTAATAGTATTAGTCTTCAGGGTGTTTGTAATGTTGGAGAGGCAGTTAGACTGAGACAGCAGGAGCAAAATGGGTTGGGATTGGAAGAATGTTGGTGAGGACGCCGTTTGATGAGACTGTTCTTGGTTACTTGAGATTGTCGAATAAATATGTTAAATAACGGGTGTCACCGAGTTAGTATGCGTATCGGCTGTGAGCTTCCCACGTCTATCTTGTCTACCGTTGAGAAACAACATGGAACGATTTACACGAGCAAGTGGCACGGGCCTGCACAATACATCGCAAGCACGTGGGGGTCAGGCAGACGGGGAGGATCTGCTGATAGAAACTTGTGTATAGTGTTAGCTAGCAAACAGCTCTGATATGCAATGTCAACCAAGTTCCGTGTGTCAATCAAACACTCTAGAATGCTCTCGTTCTCTCGTCTGTGAGGAGGCAATCTGTAGACGTGGCTTACGAACGCAGCAATCTAGCGCAGCGCATCTCACTTCGAACGAGTATATATCAGAGCATCAAGTAACCTGGACAATGCGATTCATCGTGTACTTCCCCGAAGCTCATACAACACCATCCAACATGCGATCAACATACTTCCTCATCGAGCAATCCGAGCTCCACAGATTCATTCGTGAACTGGATGCTTTGCATGCTTGGGCAAGGATTATGGCAGGCCTCAGCACATCCGTCACGGCGCAAGCCCCGCTGGGAATGCCCGCAGCCCGACCAGAACCGCGCTATTATGCACACGAACATCCAAGATGGCCCGATCCGTTTGCCGCCTCGGCTTGGAATACACCTTCCGAGGATGAGTACTACACAGCTCCACCAGCTCCAACAGCTCCAAGGCCCCAGCATTTCCAGCACCATCAGAACCTCAATCAGCCTTTCGGTGGAATGGGCCAAGGGTATGGTGGTTTCGAATATAGGGAGCGCGGGCATATGGGATATGAGTTTCGTCCACCCTCACCTGGGTTAGGAAGGCGAGGTGCAAGTTCGACGGGTATGTGTCGGGATCAATCGAGGGGTGAGGCGCGTGCAAGAGCCGCATGGTCAGTGCCGATGCAGAGTGGACCACATCGCACACCGGTGATTACTCGAGCGCCAAACAATCCACACACACCGCAAAGAGGTGCAATGTTTGTCAGACGACCTCGCCGGGCGAGGCCGCAAAGAAATGCGGAGAATGCGGAGGTCATGGATGATGGAACTGAGGATGAGGATGAGGAAGAGCATGAGGAAGATGAAGAGTATGTTGAAGAAGAGAACCAAGGGGTTGACCATGAAGGTGAAGCTCCGGGGGGTGATTTTGTTCCGCAGTCATGAGTATGAGGATCGCGCTTGTGGAGTGATTTTGTAGTGATGAGGCATCTATATTATCAGCTAGTGCAAGATGTTCGTTGAGCAGGTTACGAATAGATACTGCCAGACTTTGTCCATCTACACGATGTGGAAAGTGCGAAGATTAGAGGCAGTATTTTCCCTATTCGATTTGACAAGTTCGGGTATCCAGCAGTCACCGACGACCGTCGTAGCCGTATGCCGGGATGGGTCTATATCCCTGTGTATTTGCCCGATATCCTGTTCAACATTAAGAGGACGTAGTGCCATCATGGAGTCGCATCCCGGCATGTTGACAAGGTAATCGCCAATCTGTATTGTGTCTGGTCCTATTCCGAACAGCCCTGCATCTGTGAAGAAGCAGGCGCGGCCTTCCTTTGTGTGGACAAATCCCATATCTCTTGCTTCATAGAACAAATTTTCCCAATAAAGCGCTTGTTCCTTGTCCGATGCCCAAGAACGGAGGTGTTCTTCCCAACGCAATTGCGGCTCTTTTTTGAAAGAAGAGGGCTCCGAATCTACAACGTAGTCGTCGATAGGTATCACCTTTAGAGCACAATACAAGATCATTCCATGCTTCGATCCCAGCTCTAAGGTCTTGGCCTTGTGATATTGGGCAAAATATTCAGTCCATCTGTACATAGTCTCAACATCCGTCGCATATGCTTGACTACATGTATCGCGGACACTTTCAATGACGCCACCAAAGCTTGCCTGTATCGCGAGCAGGCTGTTTGTAACGGTGACCAACGACCTCTCTACTAGCGGAACTGGGCATCGCATCTTAAGAGACGACTGAAACAGGCTGTATCGCATGGGCAATCTCCAATCCGGGACCCATGAAGCTGCGAGTCCACCGAAGGACCCAGCGCAGCTCATTATGGCCATTGGAAATCGGATCACTTCGATCCTGCTCAAGCGGTCATATACCTCATTGGCTGACACTTGGTAGTCGACTGGAATTGGTGTCGAACTGAGACTTCGCAGTGCATAGATTCTGTCGCGATCATCTGCACATCTGGTAGTAGAGTACCGCGTCAACAGTGTTGTCATATTTTCGGCTTGAGCTACGATGCGATCCGTTTGGGCATCAGTAGTGTTCTCATCGCAATGAGAAAGTTTGTCAGACTCGGTATATCGTACTGCAGTGAGATTGCTCAAGTGCTGCAGGATTGCCGTAACATGTGGTGTCAATACTTCGTAGGAAAACATAGATTCCAGATGTTTGACAAAGACACGGAATTGCTGCCACTGCATTGTGTCACTACCGGTAATGATGTAGGCTTCGCGGGCATGCATAATCTCTTGGACTACCCAGCGCCTCGTAAACCATCCGGTCGCGAAGAACTGCATCAAGCGAAGTATCTCATTGTTCGCCGGTGTCCATATCCATAGAAGCGTTTTCTCTTTCTCTTGGCCCTCAAAGCTGCGCTGTAGCGCTTGCAGATCGCATCCAGGTTCTCCAGTCCAGATCAGCACACTCGTAGCACATGCGTAGATATTCCCCATCATAGTGACTTGCTTTCCTTTCTCCTCGTCGTCCGCTTGGTTGATGCATATAGCGTCAATCCACAGGGTTCGGGCAGTACATCCTGGGGTAATACCGTCCCTCAGGTACCTCAGGATCTGGATAACATTGTGACGGACACGCAAGCGAGAGTTCGCCCCAACGAAGATGTACGCCGAATCTTCATCTGAGCCCCAAGCATACGATAAAGCCTCGTAGCTGGCTGGGTCTTGGGTTTTGGAGGCATCATAAGCCCGTTCGACGATGTCCACGCGTATAGGATCTTCGAAGTGCGCCGCTGGGTACAGCTGTATGAAACGCGTGTTGCCATCGTTCGCGAGTGGTTGGTACTGGTAATCCTGAACAGCCGTCATGTCGCAGGCTCTGCGTCGTTGTCGAGGCAATGCTGTCGCGATTGCTGGAGAGAATCAGGCTGGCCTGAGACTTTCGTCCCCTGGTGGAGGGGCTGTGCAAGACACTCATGATTGGCGAACGCCTGCAGCTGGACTGCTGTCTTTAGGCGGCCACACTTATGCGGCGTGGCATTCGTCCGCGCAAGACTCCAGCAAGATGACGGAGACGAAACGAGTATTGCGCAACATTTGACTTGGTTGGGTAAATACGTACGACGAGAAGTCGGGAAGACGTCCGTCACCCCTTCTTTTGACGCGTCTTTCCATGCGCGGAGATCGCTGACCGCGGATGTGGAGATGGGCGTCCGGGCGCTAACCACCGCGCTAACCGAATATGAAGATGACATCACCACACACTTCGGTGCTCGCGCTTTAACGCCTATCCAGCTCGGACGGATCATGTCAGCGATCGGACTTCGGTGCATACTTAGCTTGCCTTGTATGGATCTGGGGGCCTGAACAAGGCTCCATCAGTGTTGCCAGTCGACGTTGTGTGTGTTGGCTCATCGAGCTACACTGGTTGCAGTATAGGAGCACCTCCTTGTCTATGCATGGGCGGAATTAGAAGGTTACGACCGAATACCGACCGTATGCCTCCCAACATTGATCTTTCCTAACGTATCTCAAGAGGTATATAGAAGGAAGTCACTCCCAAGTATCGAGGTCATTATTAGAAACAACTTGACACGCTTCTGTGTTCCTCACTCTACCAATAACCACAGAACCCCTTCGTCCTCACACTTGTCAATATGGCATTGCTATCCAAACTCAAGAACATCGCCGTAGTCGGTGCCAATGGCAACGTCGGTTCATACATCACCTCCGCTCTCCTTGCGAAGGACCATTTCAACGTCACCGCCGTCACGCGTACAGAGTCCAAGGCCACCTTCCCATCTGGTGTTAACGTCGCACGCATCGACTACGATAGCCCAGATACCATAGTCAAAGCCCTGACCGGTCAAGATGCACTAGTCATCACAATGAGCGTCTTCGGTGGTAATGCGCAGGAGAAGCTCATCCGTGGCGCAGCTCAAGCCGGCGTACCATGGATTCTACCAAACGAATTCGGCATGTACAACACGGAGGAGATCCAAAACGAAACCATCGGGCCTGGCAAGACGATCGCTCGCAAGCTCATCGAGTCGCTCGGAGTTTCTTCTTGGATAGGTGTGACCTCTGGCTTCTGGTATGAGTACTCTCTCAGCGGCGCTTACTTCGGCATCGATATTCCGAAACGAGAGGTCGTGTACTTTGACGATGGGAAGCAGCGGCTGAACACTGCCACATGGCCCCAGACCGGGCTGGCTGTGGCGAACTTGCTATCTTTGCCAGTATCGGCATCTGATGGCAACGGGCCGACACTGGAGCAGTACCGCAACCGGATGACTTTCGTATCGTCGTTCGCCCTCAACCAGCGCGAGATGTTCGAGGCGGTACAGAAAGTGACCGGCACTACCGAGAAAGATTGGAAGATCACTTCGGAGCCATTGAAGCAGCGCTTGGCCACTGCCAGGGAGAAGATGATGATGGGCGATCGCATGTCTTTTGCGACAGCTTTGTACACGAGGTACTTCATCGATGAGGCAGGTTTGTTCGAGAGGGATCATAAGCTAAACAACGATGAATTGGGACTCCCAAAGGAGGACCTCATTGAGGCTACGAAGCGGGCTGTGGATCTGGCGAATACCGACTTCCACAAGAAGATGTACTCATAAGTAGTTATAGATTTAGGAGCGCCACGCTAATACACTTCCGAACCTCGCCTATACCGTTTAGAGATATGTCGTTTGTGAGGCCTTGAGGTTCTCCGTCTATTTTCTTACTACCACGATTCGCATCAATCGAACACAATAGCAGCCTTAACAACCTCTTGTTTCCTCACCGCGTCCAGACACTCCTCCCATTGCTCGATTCGATACGTCTTGTTCGCAATGCCGCCCAACTTCAATCTCCCAGCATTCACATACTCCAAGACATGCGGTATATGGCTCATACTGCAGAAGCTAGCCAGAATCGTGATCTCTTTTTCCCAGATCCGGAAGGGCGACCATGCAATTTTCACACTTTCGTCGTATACGCCGTAAACCACCAGCTTACCGCCTTTACGCACGTACTCGATGGACCTTTCCAGAACTGTCGGTGCGCCTGTGGCTTCCACGACAATATCGAAACCGTAGGGATTGTCAGTCGAGAGCGCAGCCATGTCGTCTCCGGGGTTATCGTCGGATATGGTAATGTAGGAGTTGGCAATGTTGAGTTCGCGCGCGAGATCGAGTTTCGGGCCGGCTTTTGAGGCGATGGTTAACTAGGTCGCGTTAGTAGTTACGCGTAACCTTTGGATGTGCTGCATACATGAGCAGCGCCATTCATCTTGATCAACTGAGCCAGCAATATGCCAGTCGGCCCGCATCCGAAAAGCAGTACTCTGCTTCCGACCTCCATCTGCATTCTCTCAATACCATGCGCTGCGCATGCGGCGGGTTCGAGCAAGACGGCCTCTAGATCCGGAAGGTTACCAATAGGGAAGACCATACGAGCTGGGTATCTGCAGTACTCTGCGAAACCACCCGGAACATTACCGCCATATCCGATGACATTTTCACAGAGTTGGGTCTTTCTGCGCGTGCAGTAGTAACAATTCAGACATGGCTGTAAGGCATCGGCTGCTACGCGGTCACCAACCGCGACGTTATTGACCTTCTTGCCGATAGCGGCGACGGTGCCTGCTGCCTCATGGCCTGGGAAGGTGAGTGAGGTGTGGGGAGAAGTGAACGATCGCTCGTACCGGGTATCAAAGGATACTTCAAGAAAGTCAGCTTTGTTCAATACTTGATTTCCTGATGATCTCACCTTTGCCAGAAACTCGCCTTTGCTGCAGTTGTGAACATGCCGAGTCAGTGCCTGCGTCGCAAGCTTTTCGCATCCGAAGCTTACTGGTAATGCAAATCCTTCAAGGTGGTCAGTATGATGCATGCCCCAAAGTCTTTCTCCTCTTCTTCTACTTACTGTTCCGCATACACCGCAGGCTGAGATATTGACCTTTCGTGTGTTAGTGCAGCAAATACCGCGGGGTGATGAATAGTGTGTTGTACAAGAACATCATCATCACCGATTGTCGGAACATCGATGGTCTCGACTGCAAATTTCTCGGGGCCAGAGTATCTTGAGTATCTTAGCAATGAGATGTCGTATGTTTCGCGCCGAGCATGCCTACTGTAATGCTTTCATCTTGGCAGGCACATCGAAGCGTTGACGCTTGCTCGGTTCTGCATGGCCGTTCATGATGGAAATATGTCAGAAGATGGATTCCGTTCACTACTCTGAAAGGACATCGTAATCTGTCACTGCTTATAAGCAATTCCAATTGCTTGTTGAGTCGTCTCGACGCGAGCGCTGGCTAGACGCGTGTGTGTACACGGCAATGCGGGGTTCGGCAAACCTTCCCCAGAAGTCCGCACCACGGACTACTGCATCGGGAAAAGTTAAGAACTACCACACGTTGTGCGTGCCCGGGCATCCGACTGTGATCGTGAGAATCGCATCTTTATCTGATTCATGTTGCCATGGTAATTACGAGTTGGCAAAAGTCAATATTGAAGGCGACGGTACTACGAACCAAGCCCCATGCCAACTCTCCCACCGTCGTGTCTACTGGCTTGTGGGGCTGGAGCAGTGCGCTCGCAAGAGGCTCATGAATGATTTAGATGCAGTCACAATTAGGAAGCAGGAAAGCTGGTTTTCATCAGAGCGCAGTCTCATTCAATGGAAAAGAAGGCGAGCATACCTAGGTACCTTCCACATCTTCATGATGGCGCGCGGACGCTAAGTTCGCTTGGTGACAGTCGTGATCTTTCGCTGCCAGCATGTTTGTTTGTTCATCGAACAGCCGGTGGATTGAACACTCAAGCACCGGAGAGAAAGGGATTAGTACTCATTCAAAGCACATGCAATGGTATCTTGATTGGAGGCGCCAATGGCCGGACTCGACATTTCCACTGCACTGGAAGACCGCTGTGAAAACACACCACAATCGAGAGACCTACCGGCCTTGCGAAGTAATGCTGACTTGGCATGGGGCTTCTGGAATCGATTACCGCACAATACTCCAATCACGGCTTTCTGGGGTCTGAGTGCCGACAGTAAGCAGATATTGGGAATTCTGAACCTCGCCATCAACACCCATAGACCGCGATCGGGGCATACAAAAGTGGACAGTATCCAGGAATGGCCAGGAATTGACTTCGACATCACCTCTGTCGAAGCCGTCACTATCTTAGATAGGTCCAGTGCTTCGGCATGACAGCTGGTGCTATACCCCTGTTATTGATGGGGAAAGCTGTAGGTATATAGCGCTGACAGACTACACTGCAGGTTCTCCGAACGGTATAGCAGCCGGCTTCTTCCTTGCCCAGCACTAACAGCAACTAAGAGGCAACAAGATGATCTCCAAGATCACGGTCTTCAAAGCGCGTCATCCCGTTACGGATGACGAGTATCCGACTCTGATCTTTTGGGTGAAAGATGCACCCAATCTTTATGGAGAGGTCGATGGCGCGCAATTGGCGAACGTCTCGAATGTGGATGCGATCGACGTTGTTGAAGAAGTGGAGGAGACGAAGGTACTGGGAAGAAGCGTGGATGGACGGAGTGTGCTTAGAGAGCATGTTATTCGTGTATGACTGTAAATGTAAGCGGTGTCAGAGCAAAAGACCAACAGCGTAGAGACGCGAAGCGGAGATGAAGCGGAGAAAGGGTCGACGAAGGGTAGGATAGGCTGTAGTCAAAGGCTGTTCGCCTGCACGTGTAGGTGATAGACAGGTACAGAATGGAATATATCTCGACAGGATACTGTGCACATAAATTAAATGCCAATGAGTGTATGGAAGCCGTTGACAGTGTCGACGCGCGCTGCAGTGACCGCTCGGCTTACCTGCCCCAAAATCTTCCGCTGACTAATCTGACATCCCGCCTCAGGCTAGACCGAACGACGCGTCGACGCGTCCAGCTTCACCATACACACCCACCACAACGGTCGTGGAATGCGCCGCTCCTTACATGATTTAATGGCTGCTTCTGCCTCAGTACAGTCATCGCAGCTACATTGTCATGCTCCAACGCCACGAGCTTCGATCATCGCTAAACTGTATCAATTCAGGCGCGTCTATCAACACCGTGTACCATTGCACCAGAGAGGAGCTCAGCACCCGCCATCAATCTCTCCGTCACCATGCCGAGGGTAATTGATGGCTCATCTTCGCAATGAACGACAGTTTGAACGGCGCGTCTCAATTGTTGATGTATCACAGTCCAGCTTATGCAGGTAGTGATGGCACGCACCTTCTATCGCATCTACAGCAAACGCCCGCACAATAATACCGCAAAGAACTACTGATCCGTTTCAACCAAATTCTATCGATTAGCATGGCCGCAAGAACAAAGCTCCAAGCGATATGGTTCAGCGGACAAAGATAAGACAACCACAGCTTATGGAACGAAGGCCAGGAAGGCTTGCAGCTATGACCACTTGGCTTCATGCTATTCACATTACCCAGACTGTTCTCCGACTCACGGCGACGGGCAGCATGAGTGCACACGTGGGAGAAGCGGTGGAAACACCCGTCGTGGGTTTTAGGTTCCGAAGGTCGAGGGTCCAAGGCCAGTGTCATTGCTGAGCAGGTAACGCCTTCACTGTATCTCGGTGGCGGTGATATTTTGTACTGTTGAGTGAAACGGAATGACAGTAGAGTCGCTTGCAACTAAACCTTTTTCGTAGTACGCTTAGAACGCAGTGTGGGTCGGGCCCCCAGCTCTACACCTTCGACTGCTCGTGCACCTTAGGCAAAGATTATATCCAGGCTGCTCACCCTTCACCTCCCCACCTCCCGCCTGAACTACTTGTTCTTCTACTCCTCCGCTTTCGCGTACCCGTCCGTCGCTCAGCCTCAACTAGTCAAACACTACCGCGCTCTTCCTTTTCCGTCGCGATGAAGGCACTCAATTTCCTGTCATGGACGGGATTAGTCGCTCTGGTCGCAAGTGAGCGTCTCAGCCCGCCACGTGGGCCTCTCTTGAATATCTCAGCCCTTCACGTTTCCAGGAGGAACGTCATTCCAATCGACTTTGCTGGCTATAACCCTGCGGACCCCGGCTTCGTCATCCATGCCTCAGCAATCAGCGATGAAGAGTATGAAAAGGCGGTATGTCGAGGCCAGAAACTCTTCCTCGCAATGACCAGAGACGGCAATCAAGGCACACGTTACATCGATCCCCTCAGCAGCAAATGGGACGGCAATTTAGAGAAAGAGGGATTAGCGTGGGCCTGGGATCTATGGGAGGACGAGGACTCTTGGTGCGCCTTCGGCTTCCATGGGATGACGACTTCTTTCAAAGCCCTCGACATAAGCGATAAGTCGCTCAGCGAAGGAGGAGATAATCAGTGTTTCGGCGCTTTCCACTACAACAGTCCGGCCGTTCTCTTTGATCCAAAAGATCCTTTCTACCTGGATGACCCCCAAGGTCGGATGTTGCCAATCGATAAACAATACTATCTTGATCCATCGGGCAAGAGGCAGCGGGTAAGTTGGGTTTGCGCATCAACCTGCTAAGCCGGATATCATAGCAAATTTTCGGGGTGACTGACACAGAGCCTAGTGCACAGCTTCCACGTACACGTTCGGTGTCAATCCCACGGCGGGCGCACTCTTCTTCGTCTCGCGCAGTAGTCCCTTCGAAACCGCAAAGATGCTCTGGAAATACGCCCCAAAAGCCTCTGAGCTACCCGAACTGCGCGCCAGCTCTGACTTCGCATGGGGCCTCTGGAATAAGATACGCGGAAAGGACAACCTCGGTGACATTCGCAAGATATTCAGCTTGTACATCGCAAACGAAGAGACTCAATCTATCATCGATAGAGCGCTCGCCAAACAGAACATCAAAGAGCCGAAAAAGTGGCCAGGAACTGAGATTGATCCAAAGTCGGAGGAAGGACTAGCGATTATCGGTGAGTGTCTCCCGTCAACATCTCGTTCTACCTTCAATTACTAACAAGATCGCTCAACAGGTTCCGCAAACGGTCGAGCCGCAGGTTATTTCCTTGCGCAACACAAGCGCCAATTGGGCAAGGACAAGTACATCTCCAAGATCAACGTCTTCCTGACCGATAAGGAAGACCGCCCGATGAGAAACATTCTCTTTTACGTCGATAATGTGCCTTCGCCGCCGCCGGAGATGGCGGAGCCTGAAGATAAGGACAAGGGCAAGGATAAGGGCACTGGATTGGTGGAGTCGAATCTTGTTGATGGGGATGGGGATGGGACAAGTCTTATAAGACGACACGTGGTCTTTGCAGGCCGCTCAGACTAGGTACGTAGAAGCCGGCCTTCGATGCTGCGCCTTGAGCAGATGGCTTCGTGTACAAGAAGGAAACGATTAGATGGTTAGACAACATCGGTTCGGTTCGAGAGCATGCAATCATTAGCACAAAGCGAACGCTATTAAAAGCACTCAATGTATGCGTACATTCCAGAAACGATGATATGTGCAAGGAAACATTATCAAGCTTTTGCCTTCTCCAATCTAACTATCCCTCCACTCTCTATCACGACTTTGCAAACACTTTATGACTCCTCACAATGCTCTTCCCGTCTTCAGACCGCGCTACCACTCGGTCCTCGTCCTCATCGATAGCAATAGGCTCATCCAGCGCAACATCTCGCATCTGAATCTCCTGCGGAGGAGGCGGCGGCGGGTACGGCGCCGGCTTAACAACGAAGCACATATACGGCAACGCCGGTACACCCATGAAAGGGCTTCCCGGTGCGCCCTGGAAGACATGTATAGCCGAAACGTATCTGTTGTGACCAAACTGGGGTTTATGTTGTCCGAGCAGGTAGCCTGCCGCGATGCCGTTCGGCGATCCTAGAAGTCATACATCAGCACTGTGTAACATTCTGCAAGCAAGAGGCCGTGTGGAACCTACCCAACAAAGCCCAGTATTCCGTAGCCATTCCAGCTTCGAATACCTCTCCCGGCCAAGGTCGTACTTCCCGGCCTTCCAAAGCGCGCGCGATGATGGCGCGTGTCTCTTCGTTGGTGATCCGGTGGGAGAAGATGTAGTTGATGTTGGCGAGGTTACCGGCGCTCATCCTTTCCCATAGACCCCAGGCAATGTCTGAACTCGAAGCTAGAGCGGGTAGCTGGTCTTTTGGAGCTTGGGCGACGTTCCATAATTGTTTGGCCGCGGATTGGGCTGACCGGCGATTGATCATGTGGATGACACCGTCTTGCGCGTTGATACCAATGGTGTGAAATGCGCCTGTGATTCTGTAGGTTCTGCCGTTGACGACGTACTGCTGTTGGTTTCTGGCTGGCAGCTGGCCGTTTGGCAACCGCTGAACGGCGGCACTGTCTCTGTGGACGTAGGAGAAACATTTGTTCGGTCCGCCATCCGGAGCGCTCCTCGCGCTGATTCCAAGAGCCTTCAGCGCCGTTTCGAACATTGGCTTCATGGTGAAGTCGCATTCGTCTTTGATGTCCCTGTTTTCGCTGTTGTCTAGGTAGCCCCACAGCGCAAGCTCGTTGACGAGTGTTCCAGTCCATGGGCTGTTCAGCGGACTACCGAACTGCTGCGCTTCCTGTGGATTGAGCGTGTCCATTAGCTGGAGCTTCTGGCCTCGGCAACCGGCAGTCACCCAGAGGTTGTCATTTGCTGGCGCGATGGGTGCTCTTTTGAGTAGGCTATGGCCGTCTTCAGTGACCAGGCTAGAGAGATCAAGTGACGTCTCGTTGACGGAGGGTAGTAGAGCCTCACTCGCGGCGAGGCTCTGAAACGCGGCGAGACATGAAAGTAGGTGGACTTTCATGTTGCAGATCAGTGTGAGGTGGTAGGCGCTCGGTGAGAGAGTACATCAGAGATGTAAGCGGGTCTATGGAGTAAAGGGCGTTAGTTCCAGTGACACTACGCGTACGTACCCGGAATGACGCAAGTGACACTCGGAGTGTTTGCAATATGAGTGAAACATCATTAAAGGTAAGCAGCAAGAGTCAGAAGCGTTAGGTTGGCTAGTCTGGAAGTGAAAGACACGGTTATCAATCAATCCGAAGCGGTAATTGAATGAGCCTCTCGTGTATGCTAAGCTGGTGGATCTATGAGCCGGTGTATTGTGGCCCAAGTCTTATGCGTTTGATCGTATTTTCACAGTTTCGCCCGAATCACATGCTCTCTGATGACGTTCTTCTCACCGTTACCTCTTCTAACCACTTCAAACCCATTTCCTTCTGGCGGCAATAAGTTCTCTATTGGTTCCTCTGGTACTGTTGGCGGCGGAGATGGCGCCCAATTGACGCGGAAGAAAAGGTGAGGCAGTGTCGAGTACTCGTAGGGGCGGAATATGTGAATAGACTCAACATATCTATTGCCGCCAATCTTTGCCTTGTGTTGCGCCAGCAGATATCCTACAGCTCTACCATTGGGTGATCCTAGATTCGCATTGGTCGTTAGTGACTTCCCAAACCCGAAGCATAAGATGCTTTGCATCACGAGTGTGGAAGAATAGAGAATTTCAACGTACCCAGAAGAGCCAGATAATGTACGGAGTGGACGTCAACCACAGTTCCTGGCCATAGCTGTACCGTTTCGAGATGCTTGTCCACCAATACCCTATCGATAACTCTCCGCGTTTGGTCGTTGGTGATCAACATGGAGACGACGCCATTGATATTCCCCAGGTTTTCACCACTTACTCGGTTCCAGAATCCCCAGGCTACGTCTGAGCTCGTACGTAGAGCCGGCAACTCATTTGGTGGAATGGGAACCTGATCCTTTACCTTCCAGAGTCTGCGGGCTTGATGCTCAGCGGACCCTCTGCGAAGGAAGAAAATTATACCAGCAGCTTGATTGATGACGACGGTGGAATAAGCGTCCGTGACCTAGAAGCACAAAGTCATTAGTTGAGGCCAGTGAAAGGAGTCGACGCATGAGCTTACCCTGTACCTCACACCATCGACAATATACCACTGTTTGTCCTTGGGTGGCAAGATTCCATTTACTCTTTCCACGACAGCGCTGTCACGATGTTCGTAAGAGAAACAGTAGTTTGGCCCGCCGTGAAGATTGTTTACTTTGGAAAGTCCCAGGGCGTCTAGCATTGGCTGGAGAACGCCGATCTCGCAGTCGTCATCAGGATCACTAGTTCCTTCCTTGTAACCCCAAGTGAGAAGTTCGTTCCTGAGGTCGCCATCCCAGGGAACTGTCAAGGGATTGACAAACCGGGCGGCTTGCGGTGGGTCCTGGGTACACGCAAACATGAGTTTGGCGCCCCGACATTTCGATGCATGCCAAAGTGCTTCAGTAGCAGGAACTGGAGTCCCAAGCCGTACGTCATCGTCGTCAGTATCGCTATCGTCGCTGTCGTCACTATCGTCGTCGTCATCGTCGTCATCGTCGCTATCGTCGGGGTCGCCTGCTACGTGCACAGTGAGGTTCTGAGATCCGAAAGTGACGGAAGTGACGTTGGTAAGATTGCGCAGGGCCTCAGTCGCGCCGAGGGCAACAAGACCCACGATGCAGAAGATCTGCGTGAACTTCATCTTTTCGACTCGCGGTGCTGCGGGTAAATTTGCGTGCGGGGTAACGACAGGAGGAAGGAGAGAAGGTAGACACTGGAGCCTTCACCGGACAAGCGGGCGGCGCTTGCGACACAAAGTGAAGGTGAGGGAAGGTGGCGGAGGGGATTCGAGGCAAGAGCAACACAGAGCTGAGATAAAAAACTGCCGGGAAAGAGAAAGCACGTTCGATCTAACATGCCGCACTACTGTACCTCAATCGCTGGTCAACCAACCTGTACACTCATATGCTGGCCCATCGCAATAGCTTCGAGTTCTAAAATCTTGACAAACGCACTCCTCCTCTTGCGACACGCTACCTTCTCCCCATCAAAGCTTCGCCCAAACAACATGTTCTCTAACCAAATTCTTCCCATCCCTACTCCTCCTCACTACCTTACCCTCTCGAACCGCCGCGCTACCCTTCTCCGCCGGTTTCTCCGGCGCACCAGGAGTGTCTTCCACATCCGGCATCGGTGTTGTATTCTTGTCAACGTGAAAAATGAGATTAGGCTCATCATCAAACTCATCGCCATCGTTTCTAAATATCGTGATCTTGTAGATGAAATTTGCGCCACCGAGCTGCCTTTTGTGTTGTAGAAGAAAGTAGCCAGCGCCGAGTCCATTGGGCGAGCCTAGAGAGTGTCAGAGAGAGCGGGATGCGATGTGCAGGAGAATTGACGTACCAATAAGCGCAAGAGCAGCTTCAGCCTCAGCGTCATTATCTGACCCAACAACAATCTCCGTTCCCGGCCATCTCTTCAGCTCTGTTTCTCCCACCGCCTCCAAAGCCTTCGGTATGATCGTCTCAGCCGTTTGCGTATTAACAATCTGGAGAGCCATGATCATTTTGATCATTGGTTCTCCTGGAACCCTGTTCCAGAGCGCCCAAGCTAAGTCAGAGCTCGAGCGGATCTTGGGCAAATCGGCTTTATCGACTTGTTCCGGTCTCAAATTCCAGAGATCTGCGGCTCCTTGCTCAGGTGACATTCGGTTGAGGAAGTAGAGAATACCGTCGTTGCGGTTTATGCCTACGGTGCTGTAGGCGTCGGTGACCTGTTGCGTTATTAGACGTTGGCCTGGTGAACATCACGTTGATGAAGGTGTAGGTTACTGACCCTGTACGTCTTCCCATCTGCCTCGTAACGCTGACTGGACAAATAAGGCATCTTGCCATTTTTGTCTCGAATGACCGTAGGCCCATTGCTATGCTGTAATCTGAAGCAATGATTCGGTCCACCCTTCCCCGCCGGTCGCGTGTCAACACCGAGAGCGTCGAAAGTGTTCTTCATCTTCAACTTCTCATCGAAGTCACACGAATCGTCGATGTTCGTGTTGTCCTCTTCGTTGTCGAGCCAGCCCCATTTTCTCAGTTCAGGCTTTAGATCGCCGTCCCAAGGACTTTGTGTGTAAGGCCATTGCAGCATCGTGTTGCTTTCTTCTTCGTCGAGGGACATGGCTCGGACAAGGGCGGCGCCGCGACAATAAGCCTTGTGCCATATGGAGTCATGGTCTGGGGGTGGCGGTGTGTCGACAGCAAGTTGGGGATCTGCGGCCGCAATCGAGACTTTGGAGCTTGAGTTGATGGCAGTGAAATCTTCATGTAGCTCTTGTCCAGATACGACTCCACTTGTAGCCGAAGTAACAAGACTAATGAGACAACCGTAGGATAGCAGCTTCATCTCAAGAAAGTGTAGTAGTAACAGTTTGGAATAACAAGAACAAGGGGCTTGGACAAAGGCAAGGTCTAGACAGAGAGGAACTCCCGATGGGAATCCGCAATGTCTACCATGACGCAATTCCAGAAGCGTAATTGTCCCATTTAGCGTCTAGGTACGAGTGAAACCAAGGGCGACCGCCTTGTCACCGACATCCAAACGCTCAAGCGCCCCACTTCTTCTTCAGCGCTTCCACCTGAGACGCATTAACGCCCAATACACTTCCATGCCTCAGTTCCTGAGGCCAGGCACTCCTATCACTCGCTGTCCACTGGCCACTCCTTACGTTGGTACTCTCGTAGGGCCTATATCCATCCGCTCCATAAAAGTCCAGCAAGAGATGCGCCTTGCCGGCTACTTGGTTGTCCCAGTAAGGCGCGGGGCCCTCAACGCCAGATGCGATGATGGCGTTAGCACCTGCAGGTCTAGTCCAGGTGCCAAATAGCCCATTAGTCGAGATCTCCGTAAAGACTGTTTTCGCGCTCTCATCCTTCAAGAAGCGCGCGTACGCGTTGTTACCGAGAGCCAGAAACTCCTGGTCGATAATGTTGGTGGGTGATCGGTTGATGTAGTCCTGAGGCGTGCTAAAGGTCTTGAAGTCCTTGGTATATGCGTAGCGGATGCGGATCGACGAAGGTGGACCTGTGTGCTGTGGGTCGGAAGTGGGATAAAACTTGCTCGCCCAATGAACGAAGTATTGGCCTTTGGCTTCGTCGAAGATAGCGCTGGGTGCCCAGACCATTCCTGCAGTCGCATCTTCAACAGTGACTAGGCGTTCGTTGGTCCATGTTACAAGATCGACGGATTCCCAGACGAAGATGCCGCGGGATCCCGTGCGTTGGGATGCATCCCACGTTGTCTTCCCGATGTTCAGATCGGTACCAATGATGTACCACTTCTTTCCAGCTTCGGCTGCTCCGCCAGATATGATTGCAGGGTCGCGGACGCCAAGAGTGCCTTTTGTCGGGTTGATGACCGCTTGGCCTTTGTTCAAAGCAGTCATGGAGTTGGCGTTGTTGCCATTGGAGAGGTAGAAGTATACAGAAGGCTTGTCGCCGAGGAAGAAGACGCCGAGATAGTTTGTAAGAGACGAGTCGGCGCGAGACGCAATAGCATGTCTTGAAAAGTCGAGGGTCTGTGATGGTAAAGCAAGAATGCTGGGAAGCAAACTACACAAAGTGAGGAGACGCATCGTGAAAGGAATACGGTAAGCCTGGATATGACGAGCAGATGAGAAGGCGGAAGGCCACTTATAAAGGCAGTGAAATAAAGTTCCATCCGGCGTTGCCACATAGTTTGTCAAGGATACGACGTCACGAGCGTTGCGCAACGGCTGTCCCTCCTAAGACGGCTAGGTACCCAAGCTTCGGTGAACCCTAGGAGCGTCAGACCGGGAAGGTGACCATTTTTGCGGGGTAACGTAGTCACAAAGTCATTAGAACCTCTTCTGGTAGGTGGGTCTGGGGATAGATTAAGTTGGATATGGGGTGTGGTATTAATCCGGCGCTACCGGTTTCCAAGGCGCTACAAAAGCAGCCTCGGTAGTTCGGCCTAATGCAAATGCCATAACAAGATGGTTCCGTCGACCAGAATAAGAAGGCAGTCGAATGCGCATAGTCCTTTTCCGTGTTCTGGGGCGCAGGAACTATTCGCGACTGTTCGGTAATGAACCTCATGGACTCGTCAAGCTTCGATGCTGGTCCTGCATGAGTCACCTTCACTAGCCATGGCAGACTCACCGCATAGTCACCAACAATACCGTGTTCAACGATCTATACGAGGCCAGCGCAAATATACACCACGTTGTGGCTGATTGTGTGACCTAGGTGGCATCCGGGATGCCATGGGTACGTGTATGCCCTGCTTGCTCTTGTACGCTTGGAATAGCCTTCCAACAGCTCAGTCGTCATCGCTATCATAACCAGCTACGAGCATGGTCGATAATTTCGAGGGTTGTGCGGCGGCTTTGACCTGAGGGGCGGGGGTCGAGGCAGGCGCCTTTTTCTTCAGGCCTAACGCTGCGCTAAAGTCTTTCTTTTCCTTCGGCTTCTTGGTGAAAGTTGTAGCAACAGGTACCTCGATAGGCGCGTCGAACATGTCTTCGTCAATCGTCTCCTCGCCGATGTCAGGCATGCTCCGATTCGCGAATGCTTGTCGTGCAGCCTCTGCGTCTTCTTCCTCCTGCTTCTTGCGTCGTTCGTCGGCAGCATCGGGTTGTACCTCGGTTCCCTTGCCCTCGCGGTCCGCCTTCTCTAGCCTTGCGTTTCTCGACCTAATCTCGTCCAGAGCGTCCGCGATGGCCATCTCGGTTTTGGCATCGATGACCTTTGTCTCGAGTTCTTTCATGGCGTCGCGCTCTGCCTCCTCCCTTTCTATGCGATCCAGGCGTTCCTCTTCAGTCTCCTCATTGAGCTTGGCCTCTCTCCACGGCTCGAAATTTCTCTTCGCGCCGCGCTCGCATTCGTAGTCCATGTTCTTAGGGTCTGTTTTGAAGGTGATCTCGCCGGAGCATCGCGTGCATCGAATGTAGAAGCGGAAGATGGCGATGTTGTAGTACTTTTGGTCGGTCGTCTCCTTGCGCGCGTTGAACTTGCGGCCTTTGTAGATGAACTCGCCGCAGTGGGTGCATTTCATGGAGAAAGGTGCCATGAGGCGGACCGTCATCAGCTTGGGACCAGCATTCTTGGGGCCGCGCTGGCGCGTGATCTTCGAAGGATCGAAATCCGGTGGGTAATACTTGGTGAGCACTTTTCGTTCGGACATGGCGGCGGTTTGTGTGAGGTCTGGCGAGGTTTGGCGCTGATCGGGTGCTTCGAGTTAACGTGTTAAAAGAGAATATAAGCTTTATTCTGCGCAAATGAAGGTCTCGCGCGTGATATGGATGAGGTCGTGTGGCGTGTTGGATGTCAAGTGAGTGGTAGAAATCACGTCTAGGTAACGGCAACCCTAGCGCGGAACTTTTGGCTGACTAAGGCCGCCCGCTGCTGCAGGCACCCCGCAAACATGTGCTCTCGCGTCGGGCAGGCGCGACCCTGGCTCTAAACATCGCGCCGCCGCCGACTGCCACCTCGACTGGGGATATCTTTTGGGACACATTCACTAAGCCGCCTGAACAGACTATACCCAATGCGATAGCGAAACTATGGAGAAATATCTACGCGAGTGGCGCCAGGAAGCCCTCAATCGCTGCCAGTACGACACAGCCATCTTTGTTGCAGACAAGCTGCTGGCCTTGACGGGTATGCTCTAACACTCGGCAGGTCGACGTATACTGACAAAACCGCATAGATGACGACCAGGATGCATTCTGGCTAGCACAGGTGCACTTCACCACCGGCAACTACAACAGGACACAGTCACTCCTCGCACGCGGAAACCTCGTCGAGCGCACGCCCCAATGTCGATACCTCGCTGCGCACTGCTCTCTGAAGCTGGGGAAATTGGAAGATGCACTGCAGATACTGGGCGACAAGAACCCAACCCATTTGATCTCGGCGCCAGGGAACACGCGCACCAAGCTGCGGCACGTCGACGTCAACACACGGGCCGGCGCAAGACAGACCAAGAACGGCTCGCGCAACGAGCGCCTGCCCACGAGCGAAGAGCGCGATCGCGAAGATGTTAACAACATCAAGTCGGAAGCAGGCATGTGCTACCTCCGGGGTGTGTGCTATGCAAAGCAAAACTCCTTCGACCGGGCCAAGGAATGCTACAAGACGGCGGTTCAGATCGACGTGCAATGCTTCGAGGCCTTCGATGCGCTCATGTCCAACTCGTTGATGGCACCAGAGGAGGAGTGGAAGTTCCTCGAATCGCTCAACTTCGACACCATCAACGTCGCCAACAACCCTTCCTTGTCACAAGAGGCCGCGTCCTTCACCAAGACCCTCTACACAACACGCCTATCCAAGTACACCAGACCAGAAGAATTCGCGAACGCGACCGAGACGCTTACGACACACTATCACCTTGGCGAGAACCCCGACATAGTCCTCTCCAAAGCGGATCTCATGTTCACCCTATGCCGCTTCCGCGATACCCTCGCCCTTACGTCAGCCGTCCTCGCGAACGACAAGTACAATTTCAACATCATGCCTATACATATAGCGTCCTTGCACGAGCTCGGCGAAAAGAACGCTCTGTTCCTGCTTGCGCACGAACTAGCAGACACGAACCCCTCAGAACCATGCGCATGGTTCGCCGTTGGTACCTACTATCTCGCAATCGGTCGCATAGCTGAAGCACGCCGCTACTTCTCCAAGTCCTCCATGATGGACCCACACTTTGGCCCTGCCTGGATAGGGTTCGCGCATACGTTTGCCGCAGAAGGAGAACACGACCAAGCTATCTCCGCCTACTCCACCGCGGCACGCCTCTTCCAGGGTTCACATCTACCACAGCTCTTCCTCGGCATGCAAAACCTTCAATTGAACAACCTGAGCCTGTCGCGAGAGTACTTGAAGACATCGTACGATCTGTGCGAGAACGATCCTTGCCTTCTTAACGAGATGGGCGTTGTCTACTTCCACGAAGGACAATTACTGGACGCTATACAATTCTTCCGCCGCGCGCTAGCTTTCTCAGAGCAGAACGAAGCAGACCCAGATGCTTGGATACCCACACGGATAAATCTCGCCCATGCGCTTCGCAAGTGTGAACAGTACAGCGAAGCACTCGAGACATTCGACGAAGTGCTCCGCCATGGCATGAAGGACCCGAGCGTCTTCACCGCAAAAGCCCTGGTTCTCCTAAACCTCAACAGAAGTTGGGACGCTATCATCACCTTACACGAAGCCCTCGCTGTCTCGCCTCAGGACCCAATGGCTACTGACCTCCTCAATCGCGCGCTAGAGATCAACGAGTCAGACAGCGGACTCCTCGAGTCTGGAACAGCGGGGGGACCAGACATGACAGGAGACGCAGATGAAGATGAAGAGATCGAAGAGCTGGAACGGAGAATGAAC